GGCCAAACCACTCCAGAGACAGCTCAGCCTCCACTCAGCAAACACTCGTCGTCAAACTCAAAGATAACTCCACGTGCTCTCCATCTCCTCGCTAAATCCCTCTCCAAAACCATTTCGCTCTCCCCCCTCTCTCTAAAACCCTCTCCTCTCCTTCGTCCCCCGCTGCCAAAATGTCCCTCTCCTTCACCCTCACCAACCCCAAACCCTTCTTCTCCCCAAACTCCCCCAAAACCCTAACCCTATCCCCCAAAACCCTAACTTTCTCCAAACCCTCATCATCAATCACCAAATGCTCGCCTCTTCGACCTCCGCGTCGACGTCATCGAGGCCGGGTTCCCCGCCTCCTCCCCCGACGACCTCGAGGCCGTCCGATCGATCGCCAGAGAGGTCGGGAATCAGGTGGATGAGTGTGGTTATGTTCCCGTGATATGCGGGCTGGCGAGGTGCATGAAGGGGGATATTGAACGGTCGTGGGAGGCGGTGAGGTTTGCAAGGAGGCCAAGGATTCATACGTTTATTGCGACGAGCGATATACATTTGGTGCATAAGTTGAATAAGAGTAGGGAGGAGGTGGTTAGGATTGCGAGGGAGATGGTGGCGTTTGCAAGGGGGTTGGGGTGTGTTGATGTTCAATTTAGCCCCGAGGATGCTGGAAGGTATATGCTCCGATTTTATCTCTGTTTGTGGAAATATTTGATCTTGAGATGTAGAAATGTCTATTTTGCTTGTTTATATGTACGGTTGCATTTGAATGTGGTATCAGGATGAAATTAGCAAAGAATCTAATCTTTATAGCCTGTTTGGATTTGTCCCCAGAGAAGGGAAGTTAAGTGAACATAGGATAAGTTAAGGGAACATATAAAAAGAATTTAGCAAGGGGAGACAAGGGGAACTTATTTCGTCCTGTTTGGGAAGTTTAATAAAGTGAAGGGAATGGAAGAGAATATATATAAATTTACATAAATAACCTTACATGTTATCAAATCATCTTTTTATTATTAGAAATTAGATATCAAATATGCGTCCATACCTATCTATTATTATTATCTTCATTTTCATCTTCTTGACATTATGGTTGGGAAGTATTAGGGAATTTCCACTACCAATATAAATCACATAAATGTGAAAAATATTGGAAAATAGTTAGCATGAAAAATAGTACGGAATATTCACATACCAACATAGAGAGCTTATAATCACATGTTCCTTTCAAAATGTGACCACCAATTCCATTCATGTTTTGCTATAAGCAACACCAAATTATCTAAAAAAGCAAGCTTGATTCAATTGCCATAACAAAAATTTGGCAAAAACATCTTACAATAGGGACATAATTCATATTACCAAGTTTTGCCATAACCACATGTTTCTAGCAAAATGTGACCACAAAATCTATAGCAAGTTTTGCCATAAGCGATACAAAATAAAACAAGTTTGTAATTGCCATAGCTAACCAAAATTTGCAATACAACTTATAAAAAGAGAGACTCATAATACCAAAGCATCACACCCTCACTAGATGAGTAGATAACAAGCTAATAACATGGTGGGGGTGGCATAGATTCTCAAGGTAATATCATCGTAAAAAGTTCCTTATGCTTTTCAGATGGACATCAAAGCAAAGCAAAGCTTTTAGATGCTTAGTTAGGAAAAGATATGCATGTTTAACTTGATCCTACTCAACACCAAGCTCAGGCAAATGATTCCAAACATCACTCCCTTTCATTGGAGTTAGGGGTGCTAAACTATTTCCGTATCCGAGTATCCGTAATCGTATCCGTTAGGATACAAATACGGTTACTCAAATCTATTACTAGTAGGATATAGTTATAAATATGGTTTTACAGTGAGATATTTGGCTCCTATCCGAAATATCGGAAAACATATTAGTCATATTGTTACGATAGTTTTAATTCTTAGATTATGGATTTGGGTTAATTTTGATGATCAAGATGTCTAATCTTAGCTTTTCAGATATAATGAACATACTAATGAACTCTTTTATATCACATAAACTATATTTTTTCAATACTATCTTGTTTTCTTATATCATTTTTGTATCTGCATGCATATTCACTTATATATCTGCATGCATATCCATATCCGTATCCGATTTTAGTGGATATGGATATGAATTTTTTCTTATCGAGGTATATCCGTGTTCGTATCCGAGATGGGTAAGGGGATGTAGATATGGTAAGTATCATATCCAAGCCGTATCTGGACCGAATGCACCCCTAAGTGGAGTACGTTCAAGAGCTTGTATGTGCGTATCGCCAATTGATTCAATTGCCTTGGCTATCGTGTGCATACCCTTTATTACAACAATAGAAATTTCATCCTTCAACCTTTTTGTTTTCTTTTGGGAATTTGCGGTTAACTTGGTCTCAGGGGTAATCACATGTTCATCTTCTTTGTCATTTGGGTCTTTATCATTAATCCCATTGAAACTCTCCAACAAAGTTTCATTTCTAAAAACCATACAATTAATGCCATCAATTGTATGAGGATCAAACTCATTAGTTGCAGTGAAAGCCCTCCTTTCTCTTATCTCGGCTGCAATTTCGGCATGTTCTCTAGTTGCTCTATCAGTTGCAAAAAACTCCTATAATTTATCATAAATTCAGATAGACTTGGTCCTCCACTTAGTAGTTTTCGGATGAAAACAGATTTGCATCTAACATTAGTTCATGTTTATGTGAAAAAAATAATAAAATAGTCCACTAAAATGGTGTTTCAACCTTGCTGAAACTGATCATAACAGTGTTTCAGCATGGCCGAAAGCCCGAAACACCAAGTTGATGCTGAAACACTGAAATTAGAGTTTCAGTATTGCTGAAGCACTAATTTCAGCAATCTAAAACACTAATTTCAAAGTTTCAGCATTGCGAAAACTCATTGATGCTGAAACTCTAATTTCAGATATTCAGCAATGCTGAAACTCTGAAATTAGTGTTTCAGATTGCTGAAACATTTCAGTGGCTGAAACTTTTAATTTACGCGTGTTAGCATTGAAAACAGTGTTTCAGCAATGCTAAAACTTTAATTTAAGCGTGTTAGCATTGAAAATAGTGTTTCCACATTGCTGAAACTCTATTTTAGTGTGTTGAAACTCTATTTTAGTTTTTCATCATTGCTGTAATATGGGTTTTAAATCATACACTTTTAAATCATCATATAATATCGTATCATATTATATCATATCATATCATATCATACTCCTTTAAAAGTGGGAGTCTAGATAATACTTTTCTTTCCCAAAATTTCCCTTTGCATGTCATTAAATTTAGTAAATTACATAACTAATGTAACTTATTATATCATTCTTAATAATTAAAAGTATCATATCATATCATACTCCTTATAAAAGTGGGAGTCTGGAAAAAACATTCCATGGACAAAAAAACCCTTGATTATTTTAAATATTACATTGTTATCCTATCCTAATTAATATAAATTTAATTATCTATGATAATTAGTAAATAGAAAAAGTTGTTATCCTATCATAATATCTTTGAATTAGGAGATAAGGAATTTACAATCAGGAGTTAGTTTTTTATCTTTAAATTGAGTTATCTAAAGTGATCAGCAAAGAGATGAAAAGTTGTTATCCTGTTCTAATATTTTTTAAATTACAAAATCATGTTTAAAGATAAATATTTGATATGTAGAAGTTTTTTTAATATTTAAAGTTTATTGTCTATGATAATTTGTACAGAGACAAAAGGTTTGCAAATATGAAACTTTTGAGGGTATGTATGTAATAATCCTAACTTCATTTTTTTAGTTCATACCAAGTTCTTTTTTATTGGAAAAACTCCGTTTAGGGGTTATGCACAAACTTGATTTTAAACTAAACAAAAACCCATTGTGTGTAAGCATTGAATTACATTTAGGCTCATCTAAGTTTATAAGCCTCTATAGACATTCCTTTTAATAATATTGTTATCATAATCAAATTGTATCAATTGTACAAGCGTTTTGCTTGTGCTCGCGTGTAGTTTATAATTTTTAGGGTATGTAAATTTTGGATTTTTGAGGTGGTGGTTTGTAAATTTCAAATTTTAGAAGGGGTTGTTTGTAATTTTTAATTTTTGCATAGAGCTACTTATAACATTCAAATTTTTCGGATCATTGTTTGTAATTTTTGAATTTTTATGATCTACTTCAATTTTTAATTTAGAGGACCTTTTACAATTTTAGATTTTCAAGGGGCGTTTGTAGTTTTTATATTTTTCAAGACCTTGTTTGTAGTCTATAATTTTTAAATTTTAAAGGGTTTTTTGTAGTTTTTACATTCTTCAGTGGATTGTTTGTAGATTCATATTTTTAGTGGTGGTTTGTATTTTCCAAGAGTTATTTCTAATTTTACGAATTAATCTACAATTAGGAATGATTTTGGATGTACATATTAGACTTTAGGAATAATGTTCATCATGTAAAATTATGGAATAATGGCCTTATGAGATTAAGTGAAAAAAAAATCAAAATGTATTGGAGGATTTTTAAAAATTTTCATACTTAGTGGGGTTTCCAAAAATGTGTCAAAGGATTGAACTTATTTGACATTTATCCTTTAAAGAAAGTGGGTTTTAAATATATACACCAAGATTTGGTATTTTTAAATTGCCCATAAAATCATCATAATTTTAAATACCCCAAATTGCTTCATCCCCTTAATTTTGCCCTTCAACTTGATAACCGATAAAACATCAACATAGAGTATCCCGTTAAATTAATGAGGATTTCTTAAAATGACTAATCTATCCTCAAATAAATTAATTTATTAATTTAAATGAAAGATTAATATCCATTTATATCTTTTTCAACCCAACATTCTATGCACTAGATGATGACAAAGCATGTAATATACCTTCTATTTTTTCCTTCTCGTCAAAATTTTACAGAAATCTTCCATTCGTGAATCCAAGTTATTGCCAAAGAATCCATGATGAAGCAAGTCAAAGACATTAAATCTTATTTAGCTTTGAGAATTCTATTGATTACATGTTAGAAACAGAGAATTTGCATTACTAAAACCCTGCGAAGCATCCGCTTGATGTATTAATCTATTAAAATGAATTCAGAGTGTTTTCTTTTTTTGGATAAAGAAGATGAAACTCAACACGACCAAATTTTAGTATTTGAGAATTTAATGGATTTGAACTCCTTGAGTTTTAGTGTATTATAGTTTCTTTTTTATTTTATTTTATTAACTATTAAAATAGGGACATTGCGGTAATTTAATCCTAAAAGTTGCTAAAATTTTAGCAAAGTTTGGGAGAGGGGTAAAGTCGAGGAAGTAGACAATTTAAGGAATTAATTTAGATTTATGATGATTTTAAGGGGAATATTTAAAAATATCTATAATTCAAGCGGTACATATCAAAAAAATCCTTTAAAAAACTAAGGCCAGAGTAAATTTTTTAAATGGTGTGTTAATAGTAAACTATAATAATTAAGATATTTATATTTTTATTATAAATAATTATATTTGATTAGGATTACTAAATATTTGACTATAATTAGTACTTTCTAATTATGAATAGTTTAATTTAACTCGTTATTGCTGGGTCTCCATCATTGCTCTTTTGGTCGCCTCCCGTTGTCTTCCAAAGTGCCACCGAAAATATTGTCGTTTAAACCCATGAACAAC